ACATGGCTAAAGAAAAAAGAGCGCTAATTCGATATATTCGTCAAAAGAAAATCATATATTTCTAACTTCTCAATTAAGAAAACAACATACATCGTACATATAATATGCACATATGTAGCATGTTTTCAACTCAAAATTATTACATATAGTAGCTTCATATTTGCATAGCGTTCTGCATTCTATTTTGTCTTTTGAATATGCCATTATTGTTTATATATTAATCGAAATTTAGTATTCTCATTAAATTACATATTGATTATCTATTTCATGATCATATAAATTATATTCAAAACCATGTATATCTATATCAAATGAAAAAGATTAGAAAACTTTTCATTCGATTTCTTTTTTCTATTGTAGAACTATGAAAGAATTAGCTAATACTATTATCTTCGTGTATGACAAAAAAAAAGAAGCTTTGATAATTTTCAATTTGTTATCGCATATTTCAATATTTGAAGCCAACCATGTCGAATCTTTTTTTTTTTTACAATTAATTATTATATGAAGACAAGAAAAATGATATAAATCGATTAATTATTTGAATTATAATTATTATTTTCTTTTTTTTGTTATTTATACCAAAAACACTGACCCTTTTCTTTCCCTGACTCAGCCGATGCAAATTCGGCTATTTTAAGCTGTAGCTCGTCGATATCATTCTGTGAAACATTATCAATATTGAATGGCAAATTGCCTATGATATTTAATGTATCGAGTAGAAATGCATGATTATGATCATTACTAAAATGTGAAAGCCATTTGTTTAAAATTTGTAGACCATCACATTTTAAAAACCTAAAACATATGAATAATTTATATAAGAAAACACAAAAACAAAATTTTGTTTTTTTTAAATAGAACATCAAAAACATTTTTTTTTTTTTTTTGTATTTCTACATACGTTATTAATATATCTTCAGATATTGTATGACTGAGAATTTGTAAATAGATTGATTTATTCACTAATTTTTCAGTTAATTTCATTAGTCTAAAAATTTTAATTTAGATTGTGTTTCTTCTTTATATATGTTAATGAAATAAGAAATACATGAAAAAAAAAAAAACAACTCATAATTAATAAACATACGTTATAAATTGTCGAATAACTCGATCATTTTTTAATCCACCATTATTATCTAATAAATAGACGATTGTATTAAGTAAAACTGTTGGATCGACAGGAGCCTAAGATAAATCAATAATAATAATTTCAATAAATGTTTCTTTCTATTACTCTTTACCATATATCTGACGTATTGACTAATATATATATAAATCAATCTAGAAATATGTTAAGTTTCACATTATTATTTTTTTTTACTCTTGCTCTAGAACTGTAGACATTTATCAAGCGTTGCAAAAAAAAATAGTGTAAAGAAAGAAATAACAACTATGCGTATTACTCCCTTAGTTGTCTCGTCGACGATGAATGATGAGAAATGAAGGAGAAGAAGAAAAAAAAGGGGGTGCCTTTATTGCACCCGCTCGCTTAAGCGGACGAACGAGCAAGAAGAAAAATCGACTTCTTTCTTGTTTTTTTTTCGTTGTATGTTACTGCAGACTATATGTGTGTGTGTTCGCCTACGCAAAGTGTAGACAAAGATTGTCTTTTTTTTTTCTTCGCTCTTGTATACTCTATTATATACGAGAAGAAAAAGGAAGAATCTGTATTTGACATTATCATGTTGTCATATGCTGATTATGTACGTGTAGATTTTCGACCATAGATTCCTTGTTGGTCGTTCGACACACACGTCTAATATAGAATATTTGGACAAAGATACTATTTGAATAATAAGCAATAATATTGTTTTCTATATTAAGCATAATTGATTCAAAGCATCTACATGGCAAGAAATTCTTTCTTGTTGACAGAAGGTCAATTCTAAATCAATGATAACAATGCAATATGAAGAGAAGAACAACTATTCAGATAAGAGATCGTGTATTTCATTCAAACATAATCTCCAAAAAACCTGTTGACTTTGTCAATAGAAGAGAAAAAAAAAACATATTAAGATTTTTTTGTTGTTGAGACACACAAAAAAAAAATCAAATACACAAAAACGAAAAAAAAAAAAAATCGAATAAAATAATTTACAAACTGATCATTGATCGGCAAATAATTAAATCAAATCTTCTATTCTAATAGCTAAAAACAATTTGTTTGTTTTTTTTTTGTCTTTTGTATCATACAACATATTGAATAAATTGCCAAATAATACATATATACATAGTTGTTTTTTGAAAATAAACCAATAAAATATTCAAAGAATCACCTGATGCATATATATGTATACAATCATTCGTTGAGATATAAATCAAACATGGAAAAAAATTAATAGAAAAACGTCCATATCGATTTATGTCACTTTTTTTTTGATTAAATCTTCATAGGTTGTTATAGTCGACTTCAGTTTCTTCTTCATTCGATTGTTCTATTGAAAGAAATTGTATTTGCCTTTTTTATTCTAAATCAATATAGTTCAAAATCATGCAAACTCTATAGAATTGATAAAAAAAAAGGATTATATTTGATCATAACTAAAACTAAAAAAAATTTAAAATATTAGAGATTGTATTACTCATATTTCATTATAAGGAAAATTTTTGATGATAATAATAATATTTCAACTATAAAAATTCCTTATATTTTATTTCAATGGAGAAAATTTTTCTTTTTCTCTCTAAAAAAAAATATATATATACGATTCATATTTTCTGTTAACATTCCTAAAAAACTAAAATAGATATATATCTTAGTAATTCAATTAATAGACATTATTTAGTCGAATTATTTGTTAACATTTCGATAAAATATTAATGTAAAATGACATTGAAGGCCAGATATACATATCCATTTGATATTTTTTTTTATCTATAATAAATATCAAAATTATTCTCGATATCTGAGCCAGATTTAATCTTTTACTAGTTGAATAATGCGAAAAACTAATAGCATAATCAGAAATAGTAACGCTCTTTTATACGAAGTGTACACAATCAATATAGAGCGAAATCAAAGAAAATCATTTCTTAACAGGAAATTATCTGAAACTAGTATCCGCCACTTGACTTTATACTAGAATTCGTAAAGGTCTCTCGGTAACACTAAAAAGTATCCTACAAGGATTTGTACCCATAAATCATAGACATGAATGTTTTAAAATTTGAATTTCGATTTATTTCTGTTTATATTATTTTCTACTAAGAAGAAATTTTCTGATGAGAATACTTCTTTCTTGATTCAAAATTTTCAGTTTTTTTTTGTTATCTCTTTAACTGACAGGTATATTTTTAGAAGTGAAATCGTTCTTTTTACATATAAATAAAAAACAAAAATACCACATTGCGTTTTTCTCAAAACCAATTTTCATATTGATAATTCAAAGTTTTCGTGCCTATATTGTCCTACACTACATAATTATGTAAGGTCAAACTTTATTTCATGAGTACTTTGATTAAATTGGCGCGCGGATTGATTCTATGTAATAAGTCTTGCAGGCATTTTTTTTTAATAGTATTTAAAAATATTTTTTCAAAGAGAAAAAAGATTTCATATTTGCAAAGAAGAAATGATAGTTTTTACTCAAGTATAATTATTTTTCTATATTCAAACTCTAAAATTAAATGTTCTACTTTCGATATACTAAGTCCAAAGAGTTTTTTTCTTTGTTTTTATTACGAAAAAAACATCAAATTAAAAACTTTCGTGCATAATTTCTAGACAATTCATGCTCAGATCTATCGTTAATTAACTTTCTTTTATTTTAGTCTTACTTAAAACAATAAAGTATAATGTTAAAAAAAAATTATTTTTTTTTTTGTTCAAGGACATTCACTTCTAATAAAATTCTTCATATATATAAATATTCAAATCATTTTCTAATATTTAAATAATAAAGAAATTGAAATTTTTATTATCTAAAATAAAAAAAAAAAAAACAACAAAATAAAATTCGTCAAAATAAAATTCGTCAAAAAACAATAATCAAATCATATACATATTTCATTTGATTCCTTTTTTTTTTTTTTATGTACACCATTTTGTTTCGATGTATTTAAATGTTTATCTATATGTGTGAAGGTGGATAAGATTTAAAAAAAAATTTTTTTTTTTTAATTCATTTAATAAAAAAATTTTTTAATTTATTTCTATATAAAAAATTTCATCTATTGTTTTCATAGTGCATAACTATGTTACATATATTAATGAGTCATAATAAAGATTAACCAATCAGATGATATGTGATATTTTTTTTTGATTATTATGATTCTTTCTTTTCTTGTCAAAAGAGGACGTTATATATATATATATTTTCTTTTTTTTTCTTTCTGATTTATTGTTCTTAAGAGAAGTTAAACTTTGTTTTAAAATGTTTTTTCAACAAACCTACTTCATGTTGATTCTTGTTTTTAATATTCTATTTGCCTTTATATATTCTCTTATTTTCATTTGTTTGCTTTCATTCTTGAGTAGTTTTAGTTTGTCGATCGATTGATGAGAAAAATGATCGTTTCTTTCCCCTTTCTTCGATTCGTTCTCTTTTTCTACGCGTCTTCTTATATATACATATATATATATATAGCTATTCAATTGCTTTTTCGATCTAGGTAGTGTTAATTAGCATATGTCGTCGATTTGTTATCGTTCTCTTTACTTTTCTTGATTTCATCCTCATCATTATCATTACTGACGCTTTACTAATATGTATATTTGTTATGATATAATGCTTTTCTGTACTCAAATACAACTACTATGATGCATGTGTAAATACTTTTCAACGACTTCTTTTCCTTTTATTATTTATTTCTTATAGACAAAATTATTTGCTTTGCTTATTTTACATGTTTTACAATCTTTAGTTTTTTTCTATTTCGCGATTGATCTCACCTTTTATACTCTTAGTATATTTTCTTTGTCTTTTCCTTCATTGTCTGCATTATATTAACTGATTAGTATTTCTATTTCCGAGCACGAAAATACATTCTGGCATATGCCATTCGACAATGACAATGATGATGATGATGATGATGATAAGTGTAGAATGAAAAAAAACACGACCACTCCTGAGTTGTGTCAACAATCCAACAACAATATTTTTGCATACATTCATATACATTTAATCTCATTATCTTTCACATCGTCAATTTTTTCTTTCATCTTTCTTCATTTTTTTTCCTTTCTATTACACACATTCACACCTGTATTGTATCTTAAATGTCTGCCGATGGGAATGAAGAATTTGCTCTCAGGTCAATAACAAGAGTGTTCATTTTTAATCATAATAGCGATTTGTGTGCTCTGACGTGAATATGAGTATGTATGCGAGCGTGTGTGCATATATGTGTGTAAGTAGGAACGAGCGAACGATGGGATGAAAGTGACACTTGAGAAGTTCGACTAGCTTGTGAGCTGACTGTCTTGATTAAATCAAAATAAAGCAGCGAACATATATATATATATATACATTCATATATATATATATATATTTATGTAGACATCGAGAATAATAGAGTACGAGTAGAAAAGAATAGATGCGAACATATATAAACGATGCCAATTGGTCGTACTCCTAGAGAGAGCAAACAATAACCAACAGAAAGAATAGTAATTGAACAGGCAACTCAATCCGGTTAACATTTCATCTTTTACATATATATACACATACGCATCATCTCCCTTTGCATGCACGCATGGTCCCATTTACTTTTAAAAGCAATAGACTGATACATGAGATTGAAAAAGAAAGAAGAAGAAGAAGAAGAAGAAGAGAGAGAGAGAGAGCACTCGTGCGCTCTAGTAGAAGAAGATTTGCATCAATACATTGTTTAACTTGTTTTCATCTCTATTGTCAGTCATCATTGAAGCGTTGTATTGCACTCTCGTTCGCTTTCTATTACTACTACTATTATAATCTATCTTAGCTCTTTTCCGTTTTCTGTTATTCTTCTTCACTTCATTTATGCCTTTGATGAACAACAGAATAATAAGAATAATCTCATATAAAAAGATGAAGGAAGAAAGTGGAAAAAAAAACCCCCTTTTTCTTTTGCCTCTAGACAATATTTGCACGTCATCCACACAGTTTATTCTCAAGTGATTATACACCTTAATATAATCAGTTATTCGCGATGAAATACACTCATAGAAGTCAACTTAGATATATACGGTAATTTATTATTCCTATCGCATATTAATTATCGTTAAGAACAGCAGGCGAACATTTTTTTTTCTTCTTCTTCTTCTTTTTTTTTTTTTTTTATTATGTTATTTCTGATCGATCAAAAGCCACCTACTTCTAATCAGATAATACTTGACGTAATTAAATTGTGCTTGTCCTTTGATAAAGACCATATGTCAATCTCCAATTTCTTGTCAGTACTTCTTTATCCTAAATGCTAATCGTTCTTCACTGCCAACATATATATACAATTATTTTAGAATAAGCATGCGCTTCGTATCTGACTTGTATTGTCCTTTGGGTATATATTTATGTGTAGCACGAACGACAACTTTTGATCTTTTTCTTCGTTCTTGTTTTTTTTTTTTTTTTTCTTCTTATGTTGAATGATAGTATTAGTAATCGTGGCCTTTGTCTGTTTCTATCGATCGCGATTAATTAAGTATCTTTTGTCTATCTGGATCGTGTGTATGTGTGTGTAAATTGGACACTTGTAGTCGGCTAGAGAGAGAGAGAGAGTAACATGCATTCGTCATATACGTTGTAGAGAACGAGTATATAGTGTATGTTTTTCTTTTCCTGTATGTATATATATATGTAACCTTATCATGCGCCGGCAGCAGCAGCAGCAGCCGCCATACTGCCGACAATATTCGGGCACGTCAGGTCACGACGACGATTATTTTCTTCCCTTCTCTTCTTCATCGTTGTCGATTCTCTTTTTCTGATGCGACGCGCACTATTGCTTTTCTATCGTCGACTAATAGAAAATGATTAGAGCATGTTCGTTGTTCATGCACCCTATTGTGTTGTGTGCTAAGATAACATATTTCCAATATATATATATTTTTTTTTTTTATCTCGATATGTCATTATTAAGCGTTTTCTTTCTGTTTTTATTTTTAACCACGTGTTATTTGAGCAATCTCTTGATCAAAAAGCTAGATGAATTAATAGATTTGCATGTTTTCTGTTTATTCTCTTGCAAATTATTATAAATATACATCATGACAATATGTCGTTTGTTATATTTTGCCAGTACAGGAAAAACAAAAAAAAAGAAAGAAAATTTTCTTTTTTCTTTTTTTATTTGTCGTACTTATCCTTCAATTTTGATTTTGTATTGACATTATTATTTTCATTAATAGTATTATTATTATTATTATTATTATATTTCTCTCTTTTTTGTTTTCTGGATGTTTATTCAACATCGCCATAGTGCGCAATTGAATAGTTAAAATTTTCAAAATTCATTCACATACGAATCTCAAAATTGTTAATAATAATAATTTACATCAATTATCTAAACAACACGACGATTATCTATTAAATTCTAATAGTAGTAAAAAAAAAAAGAAAATTCATAGCGGTACCGGTTCCGCTTTATCTAATACCGGTGGACAAGATAAACTTATTGGAACTATGTATTCCGGACGTAGTGGTCCACAGGTATGAAACAATAAAATTTTTGTTTTCAATAATATTTAAATACAATAATCATCTAGGGATCTTCTCAGGTGGATTTTAGTATTATTGAATATTGCGATCGTATTAAAAAAGAATTTAATTTATTACAACAACAGTGTCAAAGGTAGACAAAACCAATAAAAATATTGTTTTAATTTATTTTTTTCTAGTTTAAAATTTGATTGTGAAAAATTAGCACAAGAAAAAATTGAAGTTCATCGTCAATATGTTATGGTAAATTATTTATTTAATTAATTAAGTTTTAATCATTTTTTATTCTATATTAGTATTATGAAATGTCCTATGGACTTAATGTTGAAATGCATAGACAATCAGAATTAGCTAAACGTTATTTAGCTATATGTCATCAAATATTACCATGTTTATCACAAGAAGTATATTTAATATAAAATATTTTATTAATCATTATATTTTTTGTTTTTAAGCAACAAAATCAAGTAGCTACAACACTTGAACGTGCAAAACAAGTTACAGTTGCTGAATTAAATGCAATTATAGGAGTGAGTTATATAATCTTATGTTTTTTTAATAAAATATTCTTTCTTATTAGCAACAAATGCATGCACAAGGTGTTGCTTTTCCTCATGCTCATAGTCAAACACCACATTTTAGTGCATCACCTTTTGGAACTGCTGGACTTCCACCTGGACTTCTTGCTTTACAAGGTGTTGCAGCAGCTGCACAACAAGCATATCTTAAAGATGAAAAAGGTTTAGAAATTAAAGAAAAAGAAGTTTTATTTTTTTTTTTTGCAATTGTTTTAGATAATTTAGAACGTGCAGCAGCATTATCACATAAAGTATAAAAAATTAATTTTTAATTTTATTATTTAGTTTTTTTTTTTCTTTTTTTTTGATACTTTTTTCTAAATAAAAAGTGTATATAAAATTTGTTTTTTCTTTTGTTTGTTTTTTCTTTTCTTTTATTAGCGTAATGCAAGTTCACCACATCATATAAATGAAAAATATCGTGGTCATAGTCGTTCACCATATGAATCAAAAAAACATAAACGTGATGAAGTATGAAATTGAATAAGTTTTTTTTTTTCTGAAAATTTATTTTTTTTTCGTAGGAAAGTGAAGGTGAAAAAAGTGATGGAGATTTAGTTGTTGATGATGCTAACGAGGTAAGATTGAAAAAAATAAAATAAAATTTAAGACGAACGAGAATTTATCAAAGATTCATAAGGTGCAAAATTAAAAATAGTATGTAAACAAGTTCATTTGATAGAAAAAAAAAATATTTTAATGTCTTCGAGGTCTTTAATATTGTATGAATAAGCTTTAAAAAGGTTGTTTTTATAAAAAAAAGAAAAACTTTACTATGTTTTACACTTCAAAAAACATTTTATAGAATGAGTGTAATTTACTGAATATAAATCTTAAATGTTTTTCTCTATTATAAATGAATTTATTTACTAAATATTTTTAATTGATTGTAGAAAATTTGTTTTCTTTTATTTTTTTTTCGAAAATATTTTATTTAGATTTATTAATAAGAAATTTAAAGAAATATTTTTTGCTTATCATTTTAGAACGATAAACCATTAACAAATGGTTCTCGTTCACCACATGAAAATGGTGATTCATCAACAAAAATAAATTCGACTATACGTAATAAATCATCACATCATGATGATAATAGTCGAAGTCCTCATAGTGATAATGGTTCAGCACGAAGTACACCTTCACTAAAAGTAAATTAATTCTTTTATAAAACAAAAAAAAACAAGATTTATCATAGTTAAAATAAAATTTATTTTTAAGGGTAGTGAAAAAAGTGGTTCAACACCGATTACAACAGCAGGACCAACGAATACATCATTGAGCGGAAATTCAACGAACAAATCAAGTTCACGTAGTGGCATTCGTCATTCACCCAAACTACCCCGTATGTCATTACGTCCTCCTTTAGCCGAATCTGTTTCTTAAATAAAAAATATGATCAGTGTGTGTGTGTATTCAGCAGCTGCACCATTTGGACCCTACGGAGCATTCATGCCGGAAAATTTGGCTGCATTTGCTGCTGGTCTCAATACAGCCTTCGCAGGAAATCCAACTGGTTCACCACGTCCTACATTGAACGATTTTTATTCAGCGATGCGTATTCCACAACAACAATCTTTATTAATATCAGCAAATGCAGCAACAAGTGGAAATTTAATTGAACGAAATGGTAGTAAACAACATTATTCATATCATTGTGATTCATATGATTCATCACCATCATCATCATCATTACAACCATTTACTTTTCCATCGGATGCATTTGATACAATTGATTGTCCACGTCGTATAAAAGTTTTAAGTCATTTACAACATGGTGATGTTGTTTGTGCTGTAACAATATCCGATTTAAATAAACATATTTATACCGGTGGAAAAGGTTGTGTAAAAATATGGGATTTAAAAGAAAGTACAAAAGATAATAATAATAATAAACCAATTGGTCAATTTGAATGTTTGGTAAAAAAATAAAAACGAATTTTTATTTCAAATAAACATTACAAAAAAAAAAAATTATTTTGTTTGTTTTTTTTTATGTAAATTTTCTAGAGTCGTGATGCTTATATTCGTTCAGTTAAACTTTTACCTGATGGTCGAACATTAATTGTTGGTGGTGAAGCATCAAATATATCAATATGGGATCTTAATTTAACACCATCAATAACACCAAATAGTACATTAATAAAAGATAGTAGTAATTCAAATTCATCAACATCATCAAATTCATCAACAACAAATTCATCATTAACAAGACTTAAAGGAGAATTACAATCAAAAGCAGCTGCATGTTATGCATTAGCTGTTTCAACAGATGGTAAATTATGTTTTAGTTGTTGTTCAGATGGTAATGTTCTTGTTTGGGATATACAAAATCAAACAATTGTTCGGTAAAAAAGAAAAATATTCAAATATAAAAATAATTTTCTTTTCTGTATTCTTTTTGTTTTTTAAGACAATTTCAAGGTCATACAGATGGTGCAAGTTGTATTGATTTAACACCCGATGGTTTACGTGTATGGACAGGTGGTCTTGATAATACAGTACGTTGTTGGGATGTACGTGAAGGTCGACAATTACAACAATATGAATTTGATTCACAAATATTTTCACTTGGTTATTGTCCAACAGGTGGTGATTGGTTAGCTGTTGGTATGGAACAAAGTTTAATTGATATATTAAATGTATCATCAACTAAACCTGATAAATATCGTTTAACATTACATGAAAGTTGTGTATTATCATTAAAATTTGCTCATACAGGTAAATGGTTTGTATCAACAAGTAAAGATAATCAATTAACTGGATGGAAAACACCGTATGGTGCAAAATTATTTGATGTAAGTTTTGTTTTTTTTTGCAAGAAAGAAACAATGAGACTTATATCTAAATAAAAAAAATTATCTTTTGATTTTTTTTAAGAATAAAGAAGGTTCATCTGTATTAAGTTGCGATGTATCTCAAGATGATATGTTTATTGTGACCGGTTCCGGTGATAAAAAAGCGACTTTATATGAAGTTATTTATGAAAGATAAGAATATGTTGGATGAATTACATACAAACACACACACACATATACGAATTTGAAAACAGAAAAATTTAAACATTTTACCTACATATTTTTTTTCTGACCTATATACGCGTCTATACAGTGAGTTTGTTTTTTTTTTTTTGTTTTTTTTCTTTCTCTCTTGTTTTGGGTCAGATATTTCAATACTGTTGTCATTCTACTATATAGTTTACATATATATATGTCAATGTTTACTCTATTTGTAAATAATGTTTTGTATTGTGCATGTGTATAACTTTCTTCTATATCGTTTTTTTTTCTTCTGCTTGTGTTGTGTGAAAATTACAAGAGAAAAAAAAGTGACGCGCTTGTTTGTATTTGTCATCTCTTTTGTGTTTGTAATTTATCTATATATATATATATATATATAAAACAAAAGTAACAAAAAAAAAAAAGTATCTGATCTGAGAAAAAGAAAAATAATTTGTTTTATGGACAGAATAATAAATTAAAGAAAAGAAAATGATTGTCTTGAAAATATTTATCTAATTTTGATTTAGAAATATTGAACTAATTAATTAATAGTAATGGAAATAGTTCATCAAGAATGAAAATTAGCTAATAAACATTTTCTTTTGTTATTTAACATGAAAAATTCTAAGACCTGCATTTCTAGAATGAACAAATATCGAGACTATAAGTATTATTCAATGATTGATGAAATCAAATAATTTTTTACATAGTGTTATTTTCAGTGCGTAGTAGTCTTGTGTTTCTTTTGATGATAGGTGAAGACTTTTTCATTTTAGCGACAGATTCTATGCCTCGGATATCATCTATCAGACTGATAGCCTTCGGTCTTGACTTTTCTTACTGAATTTTTAATCAAAAAAAAAATTAATTTTTTGAGCAAAGTATAAAAATATGTGTTGGAATATGAAAAATAAGTTTTATTACTTAAATGAATATTTTCTAAGATTGGGCTGATGAACATTCCTTGTAAGTATATAGGCAAATCAGTTTTAGAAAAGTAGACGAAGTTTGATCTTTGTGAAATATAATTGTCGACTAGAAAAATGTGAGATAATAAGTATTGTTGGAAAGTCATGTTTTCTATTGTTCAATATAGAATTTATTGCTTTTTAGAACTATGTATCAAAAAACTAACAATTATTATTAAAAATCATTAATTTCAGGATAAAACCAAGGTTGTTTTCTATCGTTCTCAATATGATGCAAATAGAATCAATACAAACAATTGATTTGTTTCTTTCATTCTCAAGGACTTATTCAATGCAATATATTATTCATCAATTTATTTATTTATTTATTTTTTAAAGAACAATGTCAAAGAAATATAATTATTCTATTTGACTTGCTGATTGTGACATATATATACCTACTATCGATTAATTCATTTGATTTGTAAAACAAAATTGAAAGTTATATTACAAGATAATAATAATACTATTGATTAGTCTGTTTTGTCATGCAAGAGTTTGTTAGACATTGTAAGATAGATTTTTTATAATTAATCATTTCTGATATAAATAAAAAAACAACTAGATTTTTATTCTACTAAAGATTTGATTTTACAAGCAACATTAATAGTATGATTCAGATATTAATTTGAAATTTTTGTTTTTGTTTATTTTTCGAATAAACATAATAGAGAAAATATCTATCCGTTGAAGCGATTATAAAAAAAAACATAAAATTGTTATCTGTTAAAGAGTAAAACATTTTTTGTTTCTTGCGACGTCATACTTACACTAATATTTGTAAAGAACTTTCTTTATTCGTATTAAATCAGCTGAAAAAAAAATGTGTTCTTGATGTTTTTCTTTTTTTTCAACAAACAATAAAAGAAGAAGAGTGAAAGTCCGAAGTAAATAAAAAACAATAGATAAAAGCAATGAGTTCGTACGTCATATGATGATACGTTTGTGTTTTTAGATTTCTTTTCTGTTGATACCTCTAAACGAAATGGCTGGCCGAAAGAAAGTTTTACTTAAAGTCATCATTTTAGGTATATAATATTAATTAATAATATTTAATTAGTTAAATGTATGTTTTTTTTATTAAATTAGGTGATAGTGGTGTTGGAAAAACAAGTTTAATGGGACAATTCGTTTCACATAAATTTTCTAATCAATATAAAGCAACAATAGGTGCAGATTTTTTAACTAAAGAAGTACAAATTGATGATCGTCTTGTAACAATGCAGGTATATGTTTTTAATGAATATTAGATATAAGATCATTTTTTTTGTCATATTTCTATATAGATATGGGATACAGCTGGACAAGAACGTTTTCAAAGTTTAGGTGTTGCTTTTTATCGTGGAGCTGATTGTTGTGTACTTGTGTATGATGTTACATCGGCCAATTCATTTAATTCATTGGATAGTTGGCGGGATGAATTTCTTATTGTAAGTTTTGAAATTTATTTAAATTGATTGGATGTTTTTTTTTTCTCAATAGCAAGCTGGACCACGTGATCCCGAAAATTTTCCATTTGTGGTATGTAGATTTGTTGTTGTTTCAAGGAGAACTTGTGTGTATTTATATCTATGTTTTAGGTTATTGGTAATAAAGTTGATCTTGATAATCGTGTGGTTTGTTTGAAAAATATTTTATTTTTTTATTTGATTTTTGTTGTTGTTTAGATTCAAACACGTAAAGCACAAAGTTGGTGTACAGGTATGAATAAAAAAATATGTAAAATCTTTCTTAAGATTTATCTTCTAGAAAAATCAAATGTACCCTATTTTGAAACATCAGCTAAAGAAGGTATCAATGTTGAAAAAGCATTTGAAACAGTTGCACGTAATGCATTAGCACGTGAAAGAGATATTGATCATACATCAGATTTTCCGGCACCTATTAAAATTCCTGAAAATACTCGACCAACACCATCAACTGGATGTCCATGTTAAGAATGAAAAAAAAAACAAATAAAAGAATTATTAACAATTACAAAATTATTCAATGTTTATTTTTTTGTCTTTTTTTTTTTAAAATTATAACATCTTTTATACGAAATAAAGAGAGAATTCTAAGATATTAATATTTCTATTGTCTTTGTTCTTATTCTAATTTGGTGATAGTTGCAATATAGGTCTTTTGATTTCAATGATGTCAATATTCTGTAGTCTTTGTTTTATACATGTATCATTTTCTTGAATTCTCATTATATAAGATCATTCGAGCTTGTAGCTCTGCAGAACAACGAGAAAATGGGTATCTCAACCAGGACTTAAGATCATAGTTAAAACTTGATAAAAAAATTTGTCAAAAATTATGAACTAAGGTCACTATGATATTTTTGAATAACTATAGAGATGGTTGTAGATTGATCTATGCCTATTGAATATCATTCCTAGAAAATCTGAAAGTTGTAGAAACAAAAAGTGCAAAGAATAACTGAAGTTGCGTGTCATCAAATAGTGTGCTTATGTAATTTTTTCTTTTGTTATGTTGGTTGTGAATCATTTTTTTATCTTGATAAACATAATGGACGAATAATAGTTTTAAAAATGCTTAATACATGTAGAATACCTTGTTAAATGAATCACTTAACAAATCTTTGTCTCTTATTGAATAGGTGATAGCGAAGTTTGAAAAACAACTTAAATGAGTTAGTTTGTTTTAAGAGGAGAGGATTCTACTAGTTTCGATGATCCATCTTGAATCAGGAGATTCTATATGATTATGTGGAGAAAGTTATCATCTATAGAATGGTGTTTAAGGAATGTAGGTGTCGAAGTAGAGAAAATTCACATTCACACCATAAAGAAGTCTTTTATCTCTAAGATTTCGTTTGAAAATTTTGATTCTGAGAATCCAGTTTCGATGGGTGCATGCAATTCTAGAGACATGTAAATATTCTATGCTCATTTCGAAAATAAGAATTGTCTATATTCTATTACCACCACCAGGGATCCTGAGATCAATGGTTTTTTGTGCTTTCAAAACGATTTATTTATATCAGTAAATCGATGATACAATACTAATCCTCAGTACATAAGCATTGGTAGAATATCCAAGTAAACAAAAATTTGCAAAAGCGCGTTTAAACGTCCATTGAGAGAATACTAAACTAGCTACTTTCATCTTCAAATATTGCAGGTTAAAATACTTTTTAATGTATTTTGTATTTCACAAATATAAAGTATTTTCACATATCTTTTTATGATAAAAGTAACTTTTTTTGTGTTTTCCTAATGGATATGAAAAGTTCCAAACAAGAATCGTGTTTCGGGTGTTTAAAAGTATTTTTAGAAAGGATTATCTGCTTGGTTATTATCTATTCAGAAGTCTATTTGACAAATGTCAATTTCAAACTTAAGAGCGCTTCAACGTTTTTCGAACAAAGAACAAGCGTTAAAGTTCGAGGTTTCAGCAGCATCTAAAATCAATATTCCGCTATCTTTTTACATAGTGAACAACAAATTTTCTTACTTTTCATACCGGATACAATGGCTAATTTTGAACATGACCACCATCTGAACTAGACAAAATAAGAACTTTCAAGTATAATATTGTAGCTAGAAATACCATCATCTGCTCTGTTAAACAATAGAAAAGTTTAGTTAGCTAAATCTATTTAGCTTTTCTATCTATCTTTCGACCTATATATATATATTTTGGTGTAACTCACATATATTTTCGAAGAAAATAGTGAGCGTAAGTTTTTAGTCGAAATTTAACTGGGAATGGTAGTGGATGTGAGTGTCTGCTATTGGAATGAAGATTCTCAAACCCACCCACACCCATCTCCTTATCATTATCTTTCGACGTTCTTCAATATGAGAGGTGCACGAATTCGGATACAACTTATAATGAACCTACCCCATGTAATCTGAGACGTTCTCCTATTTACTTTGAGCTTGAGGCTTTG